CATGTATGTAGGTTTGTGTGTATGTATATATGTATGTGTGCCTGCATGCATATATGTTAATGTCTGCGTGTGTGAGTGTCTGAAACTGTTATCGGTTGCACTATACAGTCATGTTGAAGGGGAACAAGCAGAAACGTGTCAATTGGTCTGTCATGTTAACGAAAGTGGGTTGACGGCGGGCTTGGCGCCTAGTGAGGAGTGAATTTGGCGGTCTGGTGGATCGTCTAGAGAAGAAGTAGAAGAGTAGAAATGTAGTGATCATTTTGCTCTAGACACAGGGGACTTGACATGAATTGGGAGAGAACTGGACTGTGATGGCAATTGGGTTGCCGGGGCAAGCAGTGCTAGAGGTAAGTAGAGAGTAATGCTATCAAATGTTGCTAATAAATATTTAAACAGGCGGGAATTTATTTGATCCCATTGGCCAGAGGTAGGCTCCGTTCCCTCTACTGCTCATCAATTCGCTCTTACTCTCGTCCCTTGCAGCCTGCCTGGCTGGCCGAGGCGCCGCCCTACCCCACGCACGAAGAGCGAGTGTATTGGACCAATTGTCCGTGCGTCAAGCAATGTTCTGGTAGCCGGTCCGTCTTCAGCCCATTCCCCTCTCACTCGTCCTCCGCCTCAAGCCGGCTCTCATTCTATCGTGTTACTTTTTTCCTTTTATAGCACTCCTGCCTTCTCAACCGTTTGCCTTCTTAAGACACGTGGCCAGGCTGGGCAGAGGGTTAATGTGGCCACGTCACTTGTCAGACCTGGGTCACTGGGTCCCGTTGTTTGTGTGTGGCAGTGATGCCAGTCGAGGGGATGAGACGAAAAGATGAGCGGAACTGAGACAGGGAGTACTGACGAAATGGAGAATAAGGGAGCATCTCCGAAGGTTATGGTGACAAGCTTCTGCGAGAGGCGTGGCAGACGAGATGTTTTTGTGCCCACTACAAGCGTTTGACAAAGCGCTGGAGTTCTTTGTAGAGCTGATGTACAGCGCGTTAAAGGGATGGGCGATTAGCCATCCAACTCAAAGCATGTCATTAACTAAAAGTAGGAAGGACATGCATAAATATTGCCCAGGGGATCGCTGACAATCGGCTATGGACAGTGACTATGGTGACAATTGTCTTCATATATTTCCCTAGGTTGCTGGGGGGGGAGATCTAATAAATTAAACCCTCTTCCCAAATGTCCGTAAAATGAGGACCAGATAATGTCTGAATTACCAGCAATGGTTACCCTATTTTAGCCCTCATGTCGTAACGACCTCATTTGCCAAGGCTGTCCTTAAATTCAGCTGCCTTAGCGACAGACTACAACCTCTGAAACAAGTCCCACAAACTAAAATGGTCAGTCGGAAAATGGACATCGTCAGAACCAGTTGGCTGATGACGTAATTCGAAGGTATGAAGACCAAGATGGTATAGCCTTTACTATGGTCGTGATCTACTTTCGTCTAATAAACATGGTTAAACCCTGTTTTCACAATTCTGACCTATTTTCTGAGGGACATATAAAAACGCATCTTGTCCTGGGTCATCTGTCATTACAGCCAGTATCAGGCCGTGGCAATTTTTCAAACCTTTTTCCGGAATCATAATCTTTATCGTCAATGAGCCTTGCCATTCTTGGCTTCAAACTCTTTGACAAGTTTGGTGCCGAGACTGGCTACAACTACGATGCTGTCGAAATATCTGGGAATGTACCAAGCACGCGATCCGATGACTAAATGTATCCTGGCTACAATTGCAGAGGACAAAGTGTGTTTGCATAGGTCTCTTTTGCAGCACGACCAAGTTGCGAAAACTAGATCAAACCACTTAAACATGTGATTCATTGAGTGGATGCTCACTTAGACCTGATTAGCTCTACTAGAACATACAAATGATATATCCATGATTCATCGAAGAGAAAACTTGCTGTGACCATTGGAATTCCCCGGACTGTTTGCATATTATCTACAGAGAGTATCAAAAAGGCTGAATGTCATGGGTTTAACCTAACTTTATCTTTTCTATATTGCAAAAGAATCAATTGTCAGACTTTTTTGCATCAAGCGGGCAAAACGGGCATTACTCGTTGAATTAGCAGATCCGAAGTCAAATTGTGATTTTAAAACAGCGGCAATGACGAGATTCGAACTAAAAAGTGACAATATCAGCATTAACTTAGGTGAATAAATGTTGTAATTTGACCTTTAATTTTGTATGAAAATGCGTGTGGAAGGGCTTAGGTAATTTATTGAGAATACTTCCATTTCAAGTTAAGGTGCGTGGTAAAGAGACTCCAAGGTCGATCTCACTAGAGGACGGCGGTGGATTCTTCTCGATCAGCTGTCGAATGGCTGTTCACAGGGCAATCTCCTTTGATCTCAGTAAAGACATGCTAGGCTTACTTTCATCATATGATGGGCCTCATCAGAGCTGGGTATCATTCTTACAACCATTTTCAAGGTAACGAATCAAGACAACTTTCCAGCTCATACAAAAGTTCAACTCACCAACTTATGCTCACATGCTGTATATAAGCGCTATATTTATGCTTTTTATGAGGTGTAAAGTGACTTGGATAGTTCAAGTTAATTGTAGGTCTAGAAGCATGTACGTGTGTCTGTTTGTGCATGCGCATATGTATGACGTAGATATGCGAAGTATAGGAAAAAGTGATACAAAATAGAACCATAGCAAGAAAAGACTATCTAAGTCTTTTCTAATCTTTAACCGCGCAAATCTACAGCTTCAGCTCCAAGACAATCGCCCTCAATTTCAGTTAGGGCCAACTTACGTATCCTTTCTACTCATCTCTTCAAACGGAGTTAAATATGCTTCAACATCATCTTCTTATGGCCTAATTTAGCGGACTTGGCAGGGCATCCCTTGCATTGGAAGATAGGAATGCAGCTGGCCACCATTCACGTCTAAGTTAACTTAACAGAATAATGATTGCACACTTGCGATGTATGACACGGTAGAACAAGCGAAAGTTCAGCACGGATTTATCCGAGTGAAAGAGTGATGCTCAATGACTTCTTTATTCAAATTAAGTGACAAATCAGAGGAAATATTTCTTCAGTACTTTTTGAGATTGATTTGCAAATTCGTCACACCTAAAATTTACTTTGCATGCTTCTATCGGCTAAGTGAAAGGAAATACATCCAAGCTTCTTTGTAAAATATGTTCTCGGTGTAGAATTGAACTTAGTAATTATAATAATATAAATGTCATATTATGACATCAGGCTGTTATGGACGAACAACACCAACAAATGCAAGACTGACAAATAAGAATGACCACAAACTAAAAATAAGTATTGAATATATGAAGACCAAGATGTTGTGGCCTCTGGTGTGGTCGCAGTCTCCTTTCGATTGATAGA